ATAGACATCCTAAAACCTATGCACTAGGACTTTTTGTTTTTACTGTGGATTCACACGTGTCAAACGATGGAAAAGAACCTCCATCTTGTGACTTTGCTGGCAGCATCATGACATTAGTTGTCGCAATCAATCATTCTATTAATGAGGAAGAAATGAAACTCCAATCTCAATATAATAAAACCATTCGCCTAGTTCAAGTCTTCATCAGTTTCAGAATTATGGGATAAGACATGGCAACGCATTATCATCCAGGAATCTCATATTCAAAATATCATCAATTCCAGCTAGAAATCAATCAGCAACATGGACTTTCAATCACTGGAATAGAGACACCCCATTCTGGGAATGATCAAACACAAGTACGTCAATCATCGACTTGGAGTCTAGAAAGTCAAAGAAATTCTCATAATCGAATTTGACTATAGAAAAAGAACCGATAGAAATCTGGTATCAAGTATATATGAAACCAATTAACGACCGGATCTCCAAAATCCACTGACTGAATGAGGATTTTTGAAGTCAAGATTGAGTACATGTTTCGCACCAATGATAACTATACACTGGAAGGAAATGAACGATATGGCATGTTTTCGTGTTGAGAGCGAAATTATCGAGACTAACATTCGAAACAATAAGTGGCCTTGATCTTAGAATAATATTGAATCGTGATAGAAAGGTAATATAAATCAAAATATGGTTATCTAGTAGGAAGACCAATTCCAGGTTAAAACAGATTAAAAATAAAGCTCAAAATTGGAATCCTGGAACCTGTGGGTCAGGATCTACTACGCTTCCAAACAAAAGTTAAACCCAATTAATATCAGCAATAAACTTCAATCTCTCGATGGGATCCATCGCCACCATCATCATTATCCGAAGAAAGATCGATATCTCATTAACTCTAGGATCCCATAAAGCAACCCCTCTTGAGCAAAACACCCTCAAGAGATAAAATAACACATTACTGAATTCAAACAAATAACTAGAATACGAATCTAGATTGCAAGACTAAACTTGCACATCCATCAAATCGAGAAAAGCAAAACAATGAGGGAGGGAAACATCATCGATCAAAATCTGCTGGAATCCAAGTCGTCACGCTCCATCGACTGAAATCTTTACATTAAGCGGATCAAGAAGAGGAAAAGACTAATAGCGATATTCAAACTGTACGAAAGTAAAAACAAATATCATTTTCAAAACTGAAACTCTCGTAAAAATTCTAAAGTCAATACTGACTTTGAATAAGAGTCAAGAGCACTTATGGAGACAAATCAATAAACATCGGGTCAAAATCAATACTTCCCGAAAACTTCAAAGTCAAATTTTTTTTTTACTTCGAACTTCATATCGATAAACATCGATAATAGAAACATAGACTTCATCCACCAAAGTGCTCTAGAAAATGAGACAGACTATAACGTCAAATTCTCAAGTGTAACTGTATCATGTATTCACTGGTATGGTACGACATGTCCCGACACAAAACTGTTAAAATAACAACAAAACTCAATAAACACTCACATAGGCTCAATTTCCCATGGAATTTAAAGCCGTGCTCTGATACCAAACTGTCACGACCCAAAAAATAGGACCGTGACTTTTGGAGTTTAATTAAAGAAAATTAACTTAATTAAACTGAATTGTTTAACAAAAATCACAAAAATAATACATAAATATCAATATGTTTTGCTCCGGAGACTTTCTTTTACAAATAATATCAAACCAGTCCACAAGTTTAAACTTTACACATCTCAGGGACAATGCTTACAAATACAGATCATATACAAATATACAATACAACTTTAGAATTTAAAAACTGTAAATTCCTAATTAAAATAAGCCACCTCGTATCTCGAGCTTTCAATCCGTTGGCGTCAGCTTGCCACGTTGCTAGGTAAGCTACTAACTCTGGAGGGGGAAAAATTTAAAACAGGGGTGAACCTAATGCCCAGTAAGAGAATAAAAGTAGATTACAATGAAAAACAATTTTAGAAATAATAGTTTAAGTATGTGAAATTCTCAATTCTAAACCATGACACCTGCTAGGGGTAAACTCAAAACTAAAAATCTTAGCAGGTGTAGACATCTTTTGAATAAAATGGATAACCACATATTTTAAAACCTTTCTTTTTTTAAATACTAAAACTTTCTCAAATTCATTTCTAATAGTACAAGGAATCTAATCCTTCAGGTAATCAACAAGTACCAAGTACTTGTAATTCTATTTAAATTCTAAAGCATCCTAGAACTCGAAGTTCATAGGAGAAGACTAGAAATCCCACACCGGTAACTGGAATGCTTTCTACTAGTACCAGACATAAAGTCTAACATATGTGCCAAGCTAATATACACCATGCGCGGGTTATGGGTCCTGCCCCCAAGGATACGATCTCCATATCCTACTCGTCAGGCAATCAAGCACACTAAGTATCTAATTGCTCATCAGGTCAGTGTTCAAGAGCGAATTGCTTATCAGAACAGTACCACGAGCTCTACATGTTTATACACCATGCTCGAATTTATTTCTAATTCGAGACATATTTTCTTTTCTGAAATTCCACTTCCGTAAACTATGATTCATGAATATCAAGTGTTCCGGAAGGTTTTTCATATATGGATGATTACTCCACATATATTTATTCATGGACTTTTCAAAAATCTTCTTAAAATCACTCACCAAGAAGAATTGAATTCTTCACCAAAAGGAAGAATTCCTTGAAACACTTTTAAAAAAGGATGAGAAATACATTCTCATTCTTAAACATGGTTATAACTGGAGAAGTGTGAATAATTCTAGCTCAAAACTTATTTTCAAACATTTTTGGGCGGTTTCAGTTACCACCGGTCGATCGCTAGCATCAAAGTGCAACTCTACCGGTTGGCCATAAGAGTGCATACCGGTCGCTTGGTGCGGGCGACCGGAGCTGTTCCGCAAGCTGGAAGAACTTGCTGCTTCAGCAAGAAACTTTGTCAAAAACCTGCATTTTTGAATCACCTTCACCAATAACTCATGGAAAGAAATTTTATACATATCCAGTATACCAAATCAAAGGTTGGAAACTAAAATCCTCAAGTAATTCAACATACTTCTCCATAAACCAAGTTCAAAGTCCTTTATCATCAATGAAACTCAATTATTGAAACTCAGTCCTCAAAATTCAGGAATTTTACCAAATCAAAGAGAATTCATAACTTCAAGAGGTGCTCAACAATTTCCTTTGATCAATCACCAACTAAACAAAGCTAGACAATAAATCACCAAATTTTAAATCCAAAAATTAAAGGAGAAGAAGAAAATCCCTACCTCAAATATAGCTCATTCTGCAAAATTTCTTGAGGGCTTAGCATCCCGACGTCGTCCTCAACATTTTGAATCATGTAGTGTCGACTTCCACCGCCGAAAACGGCGGCTGATGGCGTGGACGGCGACGGAACTCCGGTGAGCTATCAGGCGTGATGGATTTTCTACATGCAATTTGGATGTCATCTCGTTCTCCTCTCCGTTGTGAATTCATAGAAGCTAAAATCACTCAATTCCAATCAAGAACGAGTGAGATATGGAGTTTTGAAATTGAAGAAAAAATTTTTGGAAAGAAGAGAGTAAGAGAGTTTGGTGAGAGAGAGCTCGACGAAGGTGAGAGAGAAAATGTCTCGGGGAAGGAAAGAAAAGAAAAGAAAAAGCAAGAAAAAGAAAAAGAATAAGAAAAAAAAAGGAAAAAGCAAGAATGAAAAAATGGGCTTGGACTCTCTGTACAAGTTTAGTATCTAAAATTCAAAGTCCAATCTAACTAAAATATGAAATGGCCCATCATTTTTGTTCTGAAAAATTAGCTGCTTACACTTTAAATCTGTTCAGGAGACAGCAGCGTCAATTCCAAAGCAATCATTTTTAAAGGAGGAAAATCCTTTACGTGATAATTTTAACTGAAAATCTTTTACTAATCTCAGATTGATTAACCTTAACAACCGGATTACACTAATTAATCTTAATTAATTTGACCGGATGTTACAATTCTACCCTCCTTAAAGGAATTCTATCCACGGAATTGGAATAAGGTCTAACCTGAAAACCTTGACAAGAAATGTAAGGAAACGAATGACATTAACGATTTCATCACTTTATGACAACTCGTGATTTCTCCACAATGCACGCCTTTTATACATAAACTAGGCAAATTCTTATTTCTATATACATGTCTAATCAATAAACTTCTAATGCGAAGTGTTATGCGAGGTTATAATATAAATGGACAAAATCATCACGGGCATAACTCCAGTGGATCGTGTCTTCTCGAATTCCCGCCTTTGCTCACGCCGTTTGATCGCAAACTTTCATCTCTGCCATTGGATTACTAATGATTTCATCCAACGGCCAGGGGTCGAGGGCTTCCTCACTTTATAAGGAGCTTCTCCACCTGAATTAACTCATCAAATTACAAAAATCTCGACGTTACTCTGCCAAAATTTCCCTTGAACTCCCCCATTCTGGTTTTCAAGGTATTTCATGAGGATTTCCCCTGCAAAACTTCAGATTCTCCCCCCTTCAAGTTTTCTGGTGAGTTTCTCCTTCATAATCTGCCATTTTTCTTTTACCTTTCGGTTCATTCGCCTTGTTATGGCTCAGATGTTTTTTGCTTTCCTGCACTGATTCCTGTTAGTTTATGGCGTTATCATTGCTAGAAATTGGCATTTAGGAACCATAAAACTTATTTTATGCATCATATGAACCTTCATGGGCTAGTTTTCTAGGCTTCTGGCTAGCCGCAAAAAGGTTTAGGCTTCGGGTTTTGGTTGTTTGGCTAGAAAATATGGGATCAGCTTGAATGGTCATCATTGCAATTGAACTTGACCTTTTACTTGCAATGTACATTCGATGCCTTGATGAATGTTCAACGCTTATTGACTTGGTAGTTTTTTAGGTAGTGGTCGTCTGTTTGTTTCCTTTCTTACGCTTTTGACTTATAGGATTTTAACTCTGTTTTTTTATATATTACCAGAACAATGACTCCCAAATCATCTAGTCATCGAGAGGGCCTTTCCACCTCTACCGTAAGGTCGGATCCTTCCTCAACCATCGAGGCTTCATGGACCACCTCATCAGGCGCCGACTCCGTCATAAGGGATATCGACGAGTTTATGGACGAAGTTAGGGCCGATTCTGACAGCGTCGACCGTATGGTCAAAGGCGATGACGATGATGACTGTGTGGACATTACCACAGTGGGAGGACCCGTCTGACATTTTTCTTTTACCTTTCTTTTCATACGCGTTGTTATGGCTCGGATGTCTTTTGCTTTACTGCACTGATTCTTGTTGGTTTATGGCGTGATCATTGCTAGAAATTGGCATTTAGGAACCAAAAAACTTATTTTACGCATCATCTGGACCTTCATAGGCTAATTTTCTAGGCTTCTAGCTAGCCGCAAAAAGGTTTAGGCTCCGGGTTTTGGTTGTTTGGCTAGAAAATATGGGTTCAGTTTGAATGGTTATCGTTTCAATTGAACTTGACCTTTTACCTGCAATGAACATTCGACGCCTTGATGAATGCTCGACATTTATTGACTTGGTAGTTTTTTAGGTAGTGGTCATCTGTTTGATTCCCTTCTTACCTTTTCAACTTATTGGATTTTAACTCTGTTTTTTATATATTACCATAACAATGGCTCCCAAAGCATCTAGTCGTCGCGAGGGCCCTTCCACCTCTACCGTAAGGTCGGGTCCTTCCTCAACCGTCAAGGCTTCATGGACCACCTCATCAGGCACCGACTCCGTCATGAGGGATATCGATGAGTTTATGGACGAAGTTAGTGGCGATGCCAACAGCGTTGATCGTATGGTCGAAGTTGATGACAATGATAACTAAGCGGACGTTACCGTAGTGGGAGGACCCATATGCCATTTTTCTTTTACCTTTCAGTTCATATGCGTTGTTATGGCTCAGATTTTTTTACTTTCCTGCACTGATTCTTGTTGGTTTATGGCGTGATCATTGCTAGAAATTGACATTTAGGAACCAGAAAACTTATTTTACGCATCATCTGGATCTTCATGGGCTAGTTTTCTAAGCTTCTGGCTAGCCGTAAAAAGGTTTAGGCTTCGGGTTTTGGTTATTTGGCTAGAAAATCTGGGTTCAGCTTGAATGGTCGTTGTTTCAATTGAACTTGATCTTTTACCTGTAATAAACATTCGACGCCTTAATGAATGTTTAGCACTTAATGACTTGGTATTTTTTTAGGTAGTGTCCATCTATTTGTTTCCTTTCTTACCCTTTCGACTTATTGGATTTTAACTCTGTTTTTTTATATATTACCAGAACAATGGCTCCCAAACCGTTTAGTCGTCGAGAGGGCCCTTCCACTTTTATCGTAAGGTCGGATCCTTCCTCAACCGTCGAGGCTTCATGGACCAGCTCATCAGGTGTCGACTCCGTCATGAGGGATATCGACGAGTTTATGGATGAAGTTAGGGGCGATGTCAATAACGTCGACCATATGGTCAAAGGCGATGATGATGATGACTGCGCGGACGTTACCGTTGTGGGAGGACCCACCTGCGGCGTCACTGCTTCCGCCGCCAATGGTCAGCCTCTCAATCACGACGTTGTATCGCGAGGCCCCCTTGATTACTATAAAATTGCTAACACGGTAACTAGCCTGGGTTTCTCCCCCACTATAACGGGCAACCGGATAGTCCCTTGTGGGATGACCAAGTCTTCAGTGAATCCATATAGCGGTCGAGAAGTTTTCTCCATCTGTTCCTTTAATATTCTCATTTTCTCCAAGCAGTCAGAATATAAAATATCCACCGAGTTGCCGTTATCAACCAGAATCCTGCAGACGGTGTGATTTCCAATTATTGTCTCTACCACCAGTGCATCATTGTGGGGCAAATGAACCCCTCTAGCATCATCCTCCGAGAACATTATTTCTAACCCATCATATCTTGGTGTGTGCAGCAGCCTGGTAGATGAAAGGTTCCAGAACCTTTCCTGGTAAACATGCCTTGCCTCATGTGCATAGTTTTTTGGGACCGCCTTGATTCCCCACCTATGTATGGACCCCCGTGAATTGTCTGTATGATGCCTATGGGCTCGCGATCATCACCTCGTTGATTATCTTCTCGATGGCGGTTGTCAACCCTTTGATCATGATTCCTCCGACTAGCTCTGAACTCCTGAAGTCGCCCCTCTCTCATGAGCCTTTCGATCTTATCCTTCAAGTTCATATAATCGTTGGTGTTATGGCCGACTTCTCCATGGAACCTACAACATTTATTTTGGTTTCATTTGCTGGGGTCTGACTTCAGGGGCTGTGGTTGGCGGAGCATGTTGCCTACCGATCTGATTGAAAACGTCTTCAACCCCAATCGTCAATTCATGATAACAGTCATACCTTTGGAAGGGGTGAGGCTTTCGGTTCTCTTTTTGCCTTTGCTTAGTTTGAGTTTGAGGTTTCTTGTTTTTTTTCGCTTCCGCTACCTCGATGCTTCCGGTTGTCCTGCTTCCCCGAGGTTGACCCATGTTTAGCTCATTTGTTCTTATTTGATATGTGCTCGAGATTATTTGCCTCGGTCTCTTATGTGTTTATGAACCCTTGTGTTTTTGCCAAGAACTCTCTGTAAGTCGTTGGCATTAAGGTCAAGCTTAAACGCCGAGTTCTTCTTCATGCTGGATAACGCTCTCATTAGTGCCTTATGGTCGGTCATATCGGTTGCAGCGGCGATCGCTTCTCCAAACCTAGCCAACCACTCATTTAGTGGTTCATTCGGTCTTTGGTAGACCATAGTCAAATTCTGTTTCGGGGGAATGTACTTTTTTCTCCCCTGATATACTACAGGGAGAAAGCCTCTTTCAGTTCATCTCAGTTAGAGATCGAATTTGGTTTCAGCGTCCTGAACCATCGGCGAGCTGAATTAGTTAGATGGTTACGAAACACTCAACACATTATCTCCTTAAGTAGCTGTGGAGTAGCATATGTCCCGTGTACAATTCTAAGTGGTCATCCGGGTCCCCCCTTCCATCATACGGAGAGATCGACGGTGCTTTGTATCTGTCAGGAAGTGGTGAAGCCATTATCTCCGCAGTGAATGAGTGGTCATAGACTCTGTCCGGGGCGATGTCGACATTGACCACTTCTGTTACCTGATGAGGACATCAGAGACGCAAGGAACACTCATGATCCAACTTGTATGTCATTCCAAGATACACGTGCAAGGGGGGGTCCAAAAGGATGTAGGCGTATTTTCCAACCAGGGATCAAGTCAAGGTTGCGGATGAAGACTTAATTTTGTCATAATCCTATCTTTTTAGATTTAAGTTTCAAGTTATCATTTAAATTCCAAATTATGTGTATTTAGAAGGAAGAAATTAGGTTCAAATTCGGATTCCTTACTTAGGATAAGTTTTTAGGCGTTTTTAAGGAATGAGTTTGATTCAAATTCAGATTCCTTCCCTATGAGTTATCTTTAGGCGTGCTTATCTTATCTTTATGTGTTTATCTTCATTTAGGCGCCTACCCCATTAAGGGTAGGATAGGACTTTAACTTTTCATCTTATTTTTAGCTATTTAAGGCTGAAATCTGAATTTAATAAGAAGTTTTGATGTTTATTCACATTATGAGATATTCTTCTTGAGTTCTTGAAGAAACTATTCCGAACTTATCAAGGTTTCCTTGTGGCGTTCACCCTTGACTTATCAAACGGATTTTCCATACTCGTTTATGGCATTTTCACCATACCAAGGTTCTTGCTTTGCTAAGCAACGGGTCGCGGTTTCCATCAATTCTTGAAGATCTTGAATCCCATCCCATATTTGGCTACAGGTTTCGTCACGTTGTTGGCGGGGTTGGTATCAGTTAGTATCAGAGCTTAGGATCATCAGGTTTTGCTATCCTTTTTCTTGTTTATTGCATTTTCTTTTCTTAGTAAAAAATAATAATAATAATTGCACATTAGGGTTATGGTTTTTTCAATTCGGAAAAAAAAAATTTTGCGATTGTTAGCGAGCGATTTGTTTTGAGTTTGAGTCCAACTACTATTGTTAGATTTTGACCTTCACCACGTTTACAAAACTGATTACAAAAAAAAAAAAAAGAGAAATCGGAGGACTGTGACTTGGAACGACTATAACTTTTTATCCAGGAATCGTCACGGAACCTGTAATATATCAAATCGAAGATCTTTCTGAGCTTTACAATCATCACCAGGGCAGATCCGGTGACCCAATTTTTGGGGCCAAAAATTGTTTAGTTTCATTAGTTTCAGAGCCTTTAAAGTTTGAGTGTCAAAAAAAAAAGTTGACAAATTTGAATTCGTTTGGTTTAAGTCTTCAATCGACTGGCTACTTGAATCCTTCTTATTGTTGGATTAGTTTTGAAAGAACTAAAAGAAGAATACGAGTGGAAAAAGGTAGAGAGTGTGCGCATAATAGAGGGTAAAAGCCAATTAATTTGAGTGAAACACGAGTGGTTTGAGTGAATTATTCTTCAAGAGAAACACCTTTTAATCATGTCGCAGGAATATGAGAAAAACACAAGTGAAGAGATTCCACCTACCGTTACTCTAAATTTACAGATGCAGTCATTCATGGGAGAGATGAAACAGATGATGAGGGCGGAGCTCGAACACGTACATGAGAGGTTAGATATGGTAGAAGAGGGAACCCCACAGAATAAACCACCACCGAATGCTCCAAGGAAGAACATGATGCACCGAAGGGAAGTTGAGGATAATGATGATTTTGAAGGTGACAATTTGGAGGAAGAGTTTGATCGAATGTCAGTGGGCAGCCATAGGAGATATGAACGGAGTAGAGAAGTTAGGATCCGATCGGATAGCAACTTGGGAAGTATCAAGATGAAAATTCCTGCATTTCAAGGAAAAAGTGATCCCGAGGCATATCTCGAGTGGGAGAAAAAGATGGAGTTGGTTTTCGATTGTCACAACTACTCCGAACTAAAGAAGGTAAAACTTATCGCTATTGAATTTACTGACTATGCTATTGTGTGGTGGGATCAGGTATGCACTAATAGGCGGCGCAACGGAGATCGTCCTATCGAAACTTGAGATGAGATGAAAAGGGTGATGAGGCGAAGATTTGTACCAAGTCATTACTACCGAGATCTATACCTCAAGCTACAAGGTCTCCATCAAGGTAATCAGAGTGTTGACGAATATTTTAAAGAGATGGAGATAGCCATGATTAAGGCTAATGTGGACGAGGATTAGGAGGCGACGATGG